AAAGGAAAGGAGTTGCTGCCGCCTTGTCACTGGAGATTCATGGGAGCTGGAACTGTTCTCTCTTGGTTTGATTTATTCGGTTTTCTAGCAGCATTTGGTATCCTCTCTTCCCACTGATACTGATGGTTCTAACTTGCAGTCTTACTGTACTTTAGATAGTGCTTGCTGTCTGAGGAGCCTCCCTTCCCCCAGCCCTTTAGACAAGGAGAAGGGAAAGTGATTCATCCCTTCCGTCTGGGACACTGGTCTCTCACTGTCCCAAGTTCTGCGCTCTGGTCTGAGACCAGAGTGCCGATCCTCTCAAAAGTAATAGTCAGCTGACATGTACAGTACTATGAGGTGTACAAGAAGGGAAAAGACAAGTCTGCATTCATGAATAGTTAGAGAAGACTTAGGAAATAAGACACCAGCATACCGTGTGATAGGATTAATTGCCACTGTGTGGTTCTCTAGATTCTAAGTTGTCACATGCTATAGAAGGGAAAGATTATCTGGAACCTGATTATTTGGCAGGTTCACTTGAGGGTGGACCTTGAAAAAGAATAAGGATTTGAATAATGAGAGAACAGCCATTTTTGGAGCCTAGCAAAAGAGCAGATCTAAGGTTTAGAAGGAAGAAAAATCTGGGCGTTAAATAATGAGAACATGGCAGTTATGTGCCCACTTTTAGGGTTAGATTGGAGAGGTGGATTTGGAAAGTAAAATGCAAGGGGCAAGTGGTTGGTGCTGATTTTAGGTAGTGATGGGTGAGGTGAACTATGGGACTTATAAGGGGGACCCCCTAACTTCTGTGGGGATGAGGTAGTAAGTCCTGAACTAGAGTGAGGGATGGAAAGGGAAAGACCCAGGTGTGGGGGTTGGAGACAGAAGACAGTGATCAGGTGTGTCCAGTTCCAGGGGAACTATGAAGAACTGTACGGTTAAGACCAAGTTTGGAAATCTAATTTGGGGAAATTATTTTCTGGCCAAGTGAATGAGTAATACTGGACCTCAATCAAGTGCAAGGTTTATACTGGAAGTGAAAGTTTGGTATGGAGGTAGTTGTAGAGGTGCCATAGGGGACATCTCCAACTTAGAGATAAAGCACCCCTCTCAACATAATTTGAGGGGAAAAAAATCAGGGCCTTGTGCCACACACCGAGTAAGACATTACATGTAATTTCCACAATTCTGTGAAGTATCAGAACAGTGGAAGCCAGGCTTCATGTTCACTTACTAATGGTGTGACTTTGGACAAGCTACTGAGCCTCTTGGTACCTGTTTCCTCATTTGTAAAATGAAGGTGATAAAAAGAACCTACCTCACAAGTTGATTAAGGAATTCGATACGCAATTGTTTGTAAAGTGCTTTCAATTTTTTTACTTTTGTTACATATATTTCATGTTGAATGCTACACTTAAAATTTTCATCTCATTGGTCTAGATGAGATGATACATAAAATATGCAGGAACGTTATTTATAAAATGAACACCAAATTCTGCATTTCAAATTTTTGATCACTAATTTCACTGCAGGTACTTCAGATGCTCCAAAATAACTTCTTTCCATCGGCAGAAGTTTCATTTCCTCCATCAATATGCTTAGTATGTAATGGGATTAATAATGGACCTAAATGAGGGCAAAAGGATGCCCCTCCAAAAAACGACAACATGGGCATGGGACACAGAAAAAAATACCGTAACTTGTAGTGTATAATACGCTCCCATGTATAATGTGCACCCATATTTTTGGCCCAAACTTCCAGGGGAAAAAAATCTTTTGTTTTAATTCAAATCTTTATTTGTTTACATTTAGGTATTTGTTTGTTGTCTTTTTTTAAAAGATTTTATTGGGGAATTGGGGGAGGGAACAGCATTGGGAATTGGGAGAGGGAACAGACAAGTTGCTGTCCTTTTGTTTTTCAGTCTAGTTGTTGAGGACGTCACTTCACTGGCCCATGTTGGTATTATCATTACACTGTTCCCTGGGTGAGGCAGTCGCTCACCAGCCATTGGAGGGCCGCTCACGAAAGCTCACGCCCGCTGCCAGCCAGCCCCACTGCAGCCTATGCTGTCGCCGGCGACTAACGGCAGCCCAGCTCCAGGTCGAGCTGTTTTTGTTCACCATCTTAGCTGTAGAGGGCGCAGCGTCACTGGCCCTCATGTGGGATCCGAACCGGGGCCCTGCTGCTCAGAGCTGGCGTCCCAAGGCAACTCCTAACCAACACGCCACTCGGCCGGCCCTGTTTTTTGTATTTCATGAAGGAATTTTAGCATTTATTTTTCAACATAATATGGTACAAGAAATTTTATGTACCGGTAACAAATTTATGATATTTACGCATCATATAATGCCAAGAACTCTTCATTGTTGCAAGTTCTTTATAAGTTCAACAAAAGCAATTATCGTATTCCAGGGTATTATTTTGCATACAGATATTGTTTTCTAGAGTTAACACTTTTAATTCATAAGCATAAATAAAGAAAAACATTTATATAGATACGGAATTAGTACTACCCATGTATAATGTGCATCCTTACTTTTTCCTCACAAATTTGGACAAAAAAGTGTGCATCATACACTGCAAAATATGGTAACATATTTACATTGTATAAGTAGTATGTGGGTAACCCAAAGCCTGAAAAATGGAACTTCATTAACAGAATAAGTTTTTATTCGTGAACTAGCTTTTAGTACCTACAAACTGCACTAAAGATAAGCAGCATAGAAATGTTTTCATTTTAAAGTAATGATTCTTCTGCACACCTTCCCTAATGAGGAAACAGACTCAGAAGACACTCACCTGCCCTTTGTCACCCAGCCTGTAGGGGGGCAGTCCTGGGATGATGGCCCTCATTTATCTGACTCCTGTGTCCTGTAGAATGGACAAGATGACCACAGCAAAGTCCTAGAGGGGTGTGAGCCAGGATAGAACTGTTAGGACTGCACAAGAAGCGTTTTAGGGAAGACTTGTCAGTGGAAAACAGGACAGCCCTGTGGACATACAGAGGTCAGGAGGCTGGGAATGTAAGAAGTTGCCCTGTGGCCAGTGCTGAATGTAGCAATGGAGACAGGCTGGCTGTTCTAGGCAGTGGCTGTCTGTCGCAGCAGCACCACCGGGGGTCTTAGAAGCAGGGATAGGAGCTGAGTGGTGCCTTTGGAGCATGTCAGGAAACCTGGTGCTAGGAGAAGGTGGGGGTGGGGGGAGTCACCTTTAGATGGACCCATGAGGGGAGCCTTCTTGGAGGAAGTAACATTGAAGCCAAAGCCTGAAGGTGGCGAAGGAAGCAAGCAGATGACAGAGAACGTATAAAGTTCAAATGGTATTTTGTATGTGGGGGTTGGGGGGATGGAAGCAGAAAGAAACAGACCAACTGAAACAGCAGGGGTGGGTGTGGGTGGGGGAGGGCTGGAGAAGAGCCTGCGGGGCTTCAGGAAGCAACACAAATCAATCGGTCAGTGGGTATGGTGAAACATGAGATGCTCACCCTCTCTCCCTGCCCCACCAAGGAAAAATTTTAAAGTAACAGGTTACTTTGGATTTTCATGGAGAATTTGAAAGAAAAATGGCTGGACTCAAAATTAAAATAGAAAAAACTTTAAGCTCTCTTTAATGGTTCTTGTGGCCTGTTGCTGGAGACAAAAGGAAGGTTTGAAAAGCAGGCAACAGATGGAACCTGGAGGAAAGAAACACAAGTTAAAGAATGACCCACTAAGTTAACATGTTTATTCACTTTTTTCACTTGAGCTGTGTATTTCACCTCTGACCTTGGCCTTGAGATTGCACCTTTTCTTAGGTCCTCTCCTAAGTGCACAGAGCTACAGCAGGCTTACTGAAGCCCCTACTGAGACTAGGCAAGGGACTAGAAAATCTGCTCACTGGCCTTACTAAACGTAAACGAGGCCTGTGAAATTTAGGAAGTTGTCGCCCTCATGTGGCCAATCTTGGAACTAACAGCCAAGAAATGGGGTGTAGGGCAGTGACGTCAGTGTTTTCCAGATCGCAATGGAGAACTTGTTAGAAATGTACAATCTCAGGATCCATCCCAAACATACTGAATCAGGAAATTGGCTGGACCTGGCCCGCAATCTATCTTTTAACAGATGATTCTGATGAACGCTGAGGTAGAAAGCCACTATTCTCAACCCACACCCCAATATCCCCATCTTCCCTCTCCTCCCAAAATGTAATAATATACTCCTATTTTCTAGTTTCAAGAATAGCAAAACTTCCTATTTAAAGTTAATCCTACTCCTCCATTTCTATTCTCCGAAACCTCCTGTCTTCCCAGGAATCTTACTCTATCAACTAGGCCTTCAATTTAATACCTGTCCTTAAGAACTGAAAACAACCTGGACCCTCCATCTCCTAGCTGCAGGCCTCTTCCTCTGACTGCAGAGCTCCTGTTTGGAGAGCAGTCTGCACTGGACCTTTTCTTGCTTCCCACTTTCTCCCCTGGAACTGGCCCTGAGGAGCTGCCGTCTTTTCTCTGCTCCTGGGCTTTCCTTTCAGTGCTCTCCCTGTGCCTCTCTCACCCACCCCCACGTACACTCCTTCCCTGGCAGGTCCTACTGCAGCGGTTCTCAACCTTCCTAATGCCGCGACCCCTTATTACAGTTCCTCATGTTGTGGTGAACCCCAACCATAAAATTATTTTCGTTGCTACTCTAGAACTGTAATTTTGCTGTTATGAATCGTAAATATCTTTTTGTTTTCCGATGGTCTTAGGCGACCCCTGTGAAAGGGTCGTTCGACCCCCAAAGGGGTCACGACCCACAGGTTGAGAACCGCTGTCTACTGAGTTGGTGTGCCCTCACCCTCTGCAGGCCCGGCAACCTGCGCTGCATCCATGGTGATTTAGAGTATTCCACCTCACCAGTCTCTGACTTAATACCAACACTGTGACTTTCAAGTACAAGTTAGCTCCACTCAAGGATCTAAAAACATTTCACAAAGGTTTGTATGTACCTCAAACAGCTGATTATGGCTGGGTTTTTAACGAGTCCAAACACACCAGGGGTTAAATAAGCTACTTCTCTTTCCACTGTTTATTATTAATGTACAAAATATACAAAACCAAAAGAAAAAAATACTCATCCTCAAATCCATTGTGGCTCTAACCCAAGACCCTGCACAAAACCCACCAATCCACTGTTTTCACAGAAAACAACCGACGCCCAGACAGGTGAAGGACAGGGGGGCTGGGAAAGGCCGTTGCCTTGTTGAATCCACCCAGGAAGGCGCCTGGTGGGGATTCACAGGTGGCTGACAGCAGGGGAGCTAGAGGCCTCACATCGACAAGGTCCCAAGTGGGGGCGGGGGGAGGGGTGTGCTAACCCCCAAAGGCAGTGCATGTAGTGACGGTCAGGCCCAGCAAGCTGGGCTTCAGTTGAAAAGCTGGTTTCACTCGTGTTAGTTTCCAGAATGATCTGTATGCAGTGGTGAACCAACACGCTGGCCTCACCTATGCCAGCTAAAACCTTCATTGGATGCAAATGTGAACTTGCCATCGAACTCAGCAGAGCCATGATGCAGACCTGTGTTCACAGAAGGCTGCAGTCTTATTTGCGAAAGGACTCAGAATGTGTAAAGCCTGTGTTGGGGAAGAGGTGGGGACGACGTGTTCCAGAACTCAAACCAGCCTGATTGAGCCCTTTCAGTGCAGTGGGATACACAATACCCCTTTTACCATCTCCCCACCCCATTAGGAATAATGAACTTGGCTGGGACGATTTCGTAAGTGCAGCTGATCCCATGTCAGTTCTGTGTTATGTGGAAGACCCACAACAGGAGGGCAGAGGTGTTCTCCAGGATAACCAGCTTTAGGTTCTCAGGCATTAAAGGTAATACTGGACAGGGGCTTGGGGTTACAGGGCAAATCTCCTCCAAAAGTGAAGCCAACTGGGTCTCCTCTTCGGCAGTCCAGGGTACAGATGTGTGCGGTCTCTGTCCTCCCAGACTGAAGTATGTACAGCAATGCGCACCAGTGATCAGGAACCCTCAGAACCCAAGCAGGTGGAAACGGGGCCAGCTCCTCCTTGGCTGGGGAAGGGAATGGGCCTCACAGAAGCCATAATGGTGGAAGGAGCAAGGCTGCAGTCCACAAGGGGGGTGTGGGTGGGGCAGGCAGTTAGTCCCTAGGGCAGGGGGGGCCCATTGACACCCGGGTGGTAGAAGGCACAGTTGTTCTCATAGCGGCAGTTCCCCTTCATCATGAAGTGTCGGCAAACAGGGCGGTTCGACATGTCTGTGGAAAAGATGGTGGAATGGTTAGACAGGAAGTGGTTCAGAGGTCGGTGCCAGCCTCACCGATTCCCAAGTCCATGGCAGCCTAAGAACTCCTTCAGAAAGATGTAGTCTTAGGGATTTGGGGAAAGGGCAAAGGGTATGAACAGCCATGCATGCTGGGAACAGGTGACCTCATGTTCTGCCTAGTATAGCCAGGGATGGCAGTGTCACTCCCCAGAAACTTGTATGGGACAACACAAGCCATGTGGGGGCAGAGATCATCCTCACCTCCTGCGTGGCTATGGCCTCCATCGTGCCCTCGGTGGCCCCCTCCTCCATGGCCAGGGCCATCATGGCCACGGTGCTCATGAGGTGGCGGCCCTCGATGGTCATGGCCTCGGTGACCAGGGACGTCATGAGGCCGGTGGCCATGGGGGCCCCCATGTCCAGGACCTTCATGGGGGCGATGTCCACTGCCTCCACCCATGCCACTGCTGGGGCCTTCATGAGGACGATGGCCACTGCCACTGCCCATGCCACCACCAGGACCTTCGTGGGGACGATGTCCCCCACCCATGCTACCGCCAGGGCCTTCATGGGGGCGATGTCCACCGCCGCTGCTCATGCCCCCACCAGGGCCTTCGTGGGGACGATGCCCACCACCTCCAACCATGCCCCCACCAGGGCCCCCTCGTCCATTAGGGGGTCCTCCTCCAGTGCGACCTCCTCTGGCCCCTCGAAATGGAGGAGGAGGAGGTGGCGGTTCGTTTCCTCCTCGGCCACCACGACCTCTATGGTATGGTCCGGGACCTGGTCCTGGACCCCCTCGCATTGGGCCGCCCCGCATGGGGTCACCAGGGCCATCCCAGAAGGGATCACCCCCCCGGGGAGGGGGTGGAGGACCCAGGAGACGTGGACCCACTGGCCCACCAGGGCCCCCAGGGCCTCCATGGGGACCTGTTGGGAAAAAAGGGAGAGATCAGCTGCCTGCTATACTCAGGGGCTAACGTCTCCCACCCTAAACCACCTCCTTTCTTTTGGTCACTCCTATACTATTACCAGGCCAACTTCACTCACCACCTACCTGGCATAGGTCCTCCAGGGCCAGGGGGGAAGTGCTGCATGCCCTTGGGGCCCCCAGGGCCTCCTGGTGGGAAACCATTGGCTATTGGACCAGGGCCTAAGAGTCCATGTGGCACTGTTAATGAAAACAGGAGTCAGTCAGCAAGAGGATTCTAGAAGAGTGACCTGTCTTCTCACTTAGGTGTACCCAAATGACCCTCAAAGACCATCACGGCAGAGCAATGCTCTCTGGGTCTAGTCTCCCCTCCCATGTCTGGCCACCCCTGCTTTCCTCAACTTCACTGCAAGCTTCCCACCCCATCCCTGGGCTGACCCCAGTGTTTACCCAGCATCTGCTTGATCTTGTCTGAATAGTCTGGTTGCTTCAGCAGCTCCTCTGAGGGATGACTATTTGGGCTACCCTGTGAGGCAAGGTCAATAGAGGGCCAGGTCAACAGAGAGCAACGGTAACCAGCAGCGGAGAAAGGGAGAGCCATAAGGGAGATGAGGACACTGGGGTAAAGAGAAGGGAAGCTCCCGAGAAAGTGGAAAGAGGAAGGAGGGCTTGTACCATGATGGAGGTGAGGATCTCCTGGACATTGATGCCTCCTCCTCCAGGACCCTGGGGGCTCTTCCCAGCACCCATGCTGCCCATAAGATTGGCCAGAACAGGAGGCAACTTGGAGCCACCTGCCCCATCAGGTGAGCCACCGGCCTCTCCAGGCTCCAGGGTCTCAACATACGGAGTCTCATCCATGGAACACTCCTGAAAGCAGAACAGAAAAAAGAGGACTGACTACAGAATGAAGTGAGTCTCATGTGAAAGCTGCACCCACATCAGTCACCCCCACCCTCATCACCACATCACACTCACCTCATCTAGGGGGATGAGCTTCGGGGGTACAGGTTCGTAGGGCTCAGGATCAGGCTCATGAGGACTATCAGGAATGCCCAGGTGATGAACAACAGAACAGGAGTCAAATAATTTATTCAGGCCCTCAAATTTCTTCTAACCCTCACCCTCTAATTACCCCAGGGTATGCTCCCCTTGGGTCCTAGCACTCAGCACCCCAGGGCATTGACCTGTTCTGCTCACCTTTCCTTGTTCAGGAAGAGCTCCTGAAGGATTCCTTTCTCCCGCTCTGCCTGGATGTGTCGCTCCTGGCTGTTGCTTCCAGGGGTGACAAGAGGTGAGGGCAGAACCAGGGGCCGGGGGCACACCCAGGGTACTTTCTCCTCCATGTTGTCATGGCTCAGACGCCGGGCTGTCTCAAATGCATGTCGGTCTGACAGGATCTCTCGCTTAGCTGCCTCGCCAAAATCCTTGATCTTATTCACATTTACTATTGGCAAGGAGAGAAAAAGCAACAGGGAAAGTAAGCATGACCGTGTCCTTTTTAAATACTCTACACCCACCTATTATATAGGAAACTTGACCTCTAACCTCGTTCAGTTTCATCCAGTTCAAAATAGAAATACTCTCTCAGTTTGCCCTCCTCAGGCCATGTCACAGTTTTCCTCTTCCTGCCTTTCCGGGTCAGCTGGCTGGGGTCACCAGGACTCTCCACTGGCTTAGCATCCAGAGCTCCTGACTCCAAAGAGGCTGTAAGCAGGAAACGTTTAAGACCCAGGTCCTTCCTTTCAGAAAACCCCCAAACCTGAGCCAGTTTCTAGCCTTACCTGTGTCCATGAGCTCTGGGACTTCCACAGGGGGCACCGGGGTCCCTGGGCGTTCTGTGTCCATAATCTCAGAAGGAGGTGCTGGCTCTGGGGAAGACGGTTTGGCTGTGCTTGGTTCTGTGCTTGTTTTCCCTTCAAACGGGCTTGGCTATTGTAAAAGAAAAAGTTAATGAACTGACAGTAAAGCCAAGGCCAAGGCAGGATCCCACAACAGCTCCTAAAAATGAAGATCTAGCTCTAACACTGCCCCACCACCCCCGTCTACACCTGAGGCAAACTCCTCTTCGCTTCCCCTCAACTCCCAGCCGCTGGGCCCTTCCTTCAACTTTACCTTAACACCCTTGTCATGACACCTACTGCTCAGGGCCCATACCTTGGCAGCTGTGGGTGACAGCACCTTCTTCTTCTTCTTAATTTTGATGCCTGGAACAGGGGCTGAATTGAGTGCATCCAGAAAGCCCAGGCCCTCCATAGCTACAAAAGGAAAAAGGGTAAAATGGAATCATCAGACCTCCTTCCTTTCATAATCCTAGACCTATAAAGCCTGGGCAGAAAAATGGGTCACTGGAGACCCTGCCTCAACTGAGAACACAACAAGTGCAAGGTGAGCGGGAAGCATATGCAGGATGATTTACACAAGACATTCTGGATATTATTCTCTTTCTATTAAAGGCAGGCAGGCAAGCCATGGCCTTGGATATGAATCACAGCTCAGGGAGTGACAAAGTCAGCCACCGTGGACAGGACAGATTACGCTGCCAGCCGGGGGCGCCCCAAACAGTTACTGAAGAGCGTACCTCCCAGCTCATCTCTAAAATTACTCCTAAGTAATCCTAGGAAAGGAGAGTTTCAGAGGTGCAAAAGTTAACTCTTTCACTGTGTTAATTGATTTCAAGTTGTTTTTTTTTCAAAATGTGTCAAAAAGCCACAAAAAAACAAAAAATTGATATTTTGACTATTTTATGCATTTAAAAATAACAATTTGAGCTCCTTCGTATATAAATGACATTATTTTCATGTATAAAAATTTCCTGGTGTTTTTCAAGAATGAGTAACAATAACATATAGAAAAATGTCCATCTGCTTTCCTAAATTTCCTTTTTGGAAGTTTCCATTCAGTCAGCGGATGGAAATATTCATTTGGATATATCCGACTGTGGTGGCAAAACGGTTGACACCAAGAAATCAAAGGAAAATGGAGGAAGATAATGAAGAGAAGGAATACCCCCACACACTCATTCCCATGAAGTTTGCTCCCAATCAAAGCACATTCCCACACTTTAGACTCACGCTGTGGTGGGATGATCTTCACTTTGATCTCTTTGGTGGTGTTGGGTGTTGTGTTGAGGGGTTTGTATTTCTTCTCTGCAGGGGGTACCGCATCTCCTGGAGCAGCTGCTGAGCTGTTAGAAGAGGAACAGTCAGCACTGCCCACTCATTCTTCCTCCTGTCCTCAGACCAGCCCATCAGAAACCCAGCACGCACCTCTGCCGCTTGAGGGGGATGGGCTTAAGGTTGTACTTGTCAGAAACCATCACCGCACTGGCATTCTTCTTCACAGGCACCAGAGACGGGGTCTCCAGCTCTAATCCTGGGGAAGCGACACGGTATGGGGTTCAACTCACACGGACCCTCCTGGCTTTTCCTCTCCGGTCGCCTAGCCTTGTATAACCTCCCCAGCCCATCCCAGTCTTCCCTCTTTTACCATGTCATAAATCCAGCTATTCCAACACAAGACCCTGGGCGTGCTCACGCCCACATACTCTGCGCCAGCCAACACCCTTACCAGTGGAACGGAACTTGGCATGACTGGGTGCTGTGGTTCGAAGAGACTTGGGCTTCTCCTTCTTCTTCTCTGGGACCTCCTCAGCCCGGGGCTCAGCCTTCACTTCAGTTAAAGGTCGCTCAGGAGGGGTGGTTCGACTCTTTCCCTCTTCTTTCCGTTTTTTCTTATCTTTCTCTATTGTGGAAAAACAAAGTAGAAAAAGATTTTATTTAGATCAAGACTGGAAGTCAGAGGTGAAGCAGGCTGAGGGCAATGAAGGCCACATTTCTTCTCCCCAGTGGGAAAGAAATAAATACAAGGGCTAGGACGAACGCGCTTACCAGCAGGCTGGGTACTGCTCTGGGAGCGGATGACAGCCATCCAGTCACTGACGAGGACTGAGGCCAATTTCCGGAGTTCTGCAGGTGAGAGAAAGGGGAAATCCCTATATAATTTAAAATATTATTCTCCCAGTAACAGAAAATAGAGATGTTTGAACACTACAGAGTACCTTGTAAAATCTACATCTGTTGCTTCACATACATCTCATGTCATTGTTACAACAACCCCAAGATTTTAATCTTCCTTCACAGACTCACAAGCATAGAGATTAGAGTTACAAAGCTAGAAGGGGCAGAATGAACCCAGCACCTGTGCTCTTCCCCGAACCACATGTTAAAAGAACAGAAACTAAAATCAGATTTAAACAAAAAAACAAAAAAAACAGTATTATTCTGTGTTGTCCTAAAGGCAAACTTAATGCAAAGTTTCAAGGAAGTAGATTTAGATCCATCTTAAAAAAGATTTCCTAGGCAACCTTTTTTCCTAGAATGCTGCTAGCGATGGCTTTAAAAAAAATCAATTAAGTGTAGCAGAGGTGAAAAAAGAGCTTAAAAACAGACTAATTTAGGGTAGCAGAGTTTATTGAGAGAAAAAAAAAAGATCAGAGAATTTAAAGGTAAAGAGCAGAATTTGTTTCTAAATATATGAAAAAAATAGTCTTTCCTTTTGTACTTGGCAAATAACAACTCTTGTCTATGGCACATCTCACCACTTATAGACTCATTTAACAATAGATTGTTGTAAAACATGAAAACCTAACTTTTCAAATTAGTCACACAACTGGCAATTTCTGTATCTAGGGCAACATGAACCCCAATGCAGGAGCACCCTAAAGCCTTTTTTTGAAGGAACAGATACTATGGTCCAGTGAGACTTGACTACAGTCAATAAGGAATGTACAAACTTCAGCATCTAAAGGAAGTACAGGAGCCAGCTGAGTGGCTCAGTTGGTAAGAGTGCAAGCCTACGAACAGCGGGGCTGCTGGTTCGATTCCCACATGTACCAGTGAGCTGCACCCTCTACAGGTAAGATTGTGAACAACAGCTCAACCTGGAGCTGGGCTGCCAAGAGTGGCCGGCGACAGCTTAGGCTGCCATGGGCTGCCGTGAGTGGCTGGCAGCTGGCGAGAACTGCCATCCAATGGCCGGCGACCAACTGCCTCAATGGGGAAATGCACAATGATCATAATACCAACATGGGCCAGTGAAGCGGTGTCCTCCACAGCTAGACTGAAAAACAAAAGGACAGCAACTTGGCTGTTCCCCTTCCCAATTCCCAAACACTGTTTCCCTCCCCCAATTTCCCAATAAAATCTTAAATAAATAATAAGGGAAGTACACAGTTGTAATTAAATCTATATTCAAAGAAGGCAGCACAATTGAGCCAGCTGGAAAACAGGGAACAATCTACCTGACAGTGAAGAAAGAAAAGATGGGCAATGATTTAATGAGCTCTTCTGTGTTACAGGTTATATATTAAGGATACTCTGACATGTTGCAAAAATAGTGAAGTGCTCTGTCTCTAAAAGGACCTAAAACCTGGGAATTAAAACACTGAAAAGAATGGGAAGTTCGGGAATGTTTTTCACTTAATCCTGTGAGTTAAATCCTTTATCTCAGAAAGTGTTCCCATCGTTTTCTTCTACAGCTAAAGGAACTTCAGGTAGGCTCACCCAGGCCTAGATGCTCCCTCCATACCAAACGGCCAAAGCCTCTTTCCAAAAGGACCTAGGCACACCATTCCCGTTAGAAAAAAGCAAACTTGAACTCTGATCGGGGCTCAGACTCTGCTAGAATACTGTTCACTTGCTGAATACTAGTGTCTTGCGCTCCCGATTTATGCCTTGGGTGTAAAATCTTTGGGTATTTAGCCCTTGGATACAAACCCTTTTCTGCTCTAAAGAAAAGGCTGTGTGTGGGGTGGCCGGGTAGCTCAATTGGTTAGAGCGCAGTGCTCATAACACCAAGGTTGCCAGTTGGATCGTCACATGGGCCAAGGAGCTGCGCCCTCCACAACTAGATTGAAACAACTACTTGACTTGGAGCTGATGGGTCCTGGAAAAACACACTGTTCCCCAGTAAAATTAAAGAAAAGAAAAGGCTGTGATTTCGGGAGCCAGGCTCTACCTTCAAGGCAGAACTGTATGGCCTTTGCCAGGAGCTCCGAAACCCTTCATCCTAGAAAGAATCTGTAGCTATCGAAGCTATGATACACTCCAGGAGTTGGACTCTGCCCAAGCACTACAGGAAGGTGTCTACCGGTAGAACCAGTACATCTATTATTAGGAGAATAGACATCGAAGGTCCCAGAATATGCTGTTTATTCAGAAAAAAAAGTCAGTGATAATGAGACACTCTAGGATGACACTATTTCCCCCAAAGAATTTTAAGTGTCTGACTTTTACACCAAGAGATCTTAGGTATCAGCTTCTAGTTAAAGTATGGGACCTTATCTTACACTCAGTAGGAGAGAAAAGGCCAAATTCCATTTGGAATTGAGGCTAGGAGAGAGGGGACAGGTTAGAGGAACTAAATTTTTTAAAAAACGAGAAAAGCAAAGTGAGGTAGAAAGAGGAAGGGAGGAAGGTACAATCCAAGGATGGGGAGAGAAACAAAGTGAACTAAGTGGAAGCGATGGAGGAAGGCCCAGGACAGAGAGGAAGGACTGGCCCCTACCTTCATCCTCACTTGACTTGCTCAGTTGCTTCACCAGTTTGGCTGTGTTGTTCTAGGAGAGATGAGGAGCAGCAGAAAGGTAAACGACAGGAGGACAAGAGGCCCACTCGGAGCTCACAACGCCCCAAACTCACTCACGGTTTCTTAATAGTCATTTAACAGTGACTAACGCTAACATTGTACTTTTACCTTTTACAAAACCTTTGTAGACATAGTCTTACTTAATCCTTACAACAATCCAGTTAGGTAGGTACAATTATTCCTATTTTATAGATAAAAAAACTGAGGCTCAGATATATAAAGCGCCTCAAACCACATACCTATTAAAAGAGACAAATTTGAACCAAACTTTCTTATTCCAAATTCCTATTTTTCCTACCATACTCCCTCACAGGCCAAGACCATAGCCACATCAGTCAGTGTGAGTTTTTCACCTGTAACACTAAACCAAAACGAATGCACTTGGATGGTAAACATTGAAGGTACCTGCTTGAGATGGTCCACAGTGAGTGGTAGGTGCTGCAGGGTCAGTAGAATTTGCTGCAAGAGGGGAATGTTGTTGGTTGTCTTTGAATATGTCAACCAATTGTTAAGAAGTTTGTAGCCACCAACGTCAATAAACCTGTGGGCAGGCAGGAGGAGAAATCTGTAATGCCCTCCTGGGTTTTAGAAATACACCCCACTCCTAGTTCTTCATCAACAATCCAGGAACCATCTGCCTCATCTTCCCCACCTTCTAGCTACATTTTCCCACCCCAGCCACCCAGATTCCCACTTACTTGACCAATATTTCTGGTGAACGGGTCTGCAGGAGAATGTTCAAGTAAGTGCATCGACTCACCATCTTTCGTGCTTCCTTCATCAGACTGTAGGAGAGAGGTTAGGTTAGGAACAGAGCAGCTAGACTGCCTCTTCTTTCAGCAGCAGTCTCTATATGTGGGGGTGCCTAGAGATCCCTGATGACTCGGGACTTTGCTACAGAGTAGGAGGGTCACATGAGCTTCCAGGAGGATGGGATGGATTCAGAGTGAAATGGAAACCCACAGGAAGAACTGGGGAGACACTGCAGCCTCTGATCTGGGGAGGTGAGCATCACTGCTTCTAATACACAGGGCACATTTGATTCTGCTTCCAGGTGAAGAGCCCCAGCCCTCAACAACCAGCCCTTACTACCCAGTTCCGGACTGGCTTAAGTCATTTGCTTCCCCTGGGAAACTTCAGCATCCCAGAAAGAAAATGAGTTTGTCAAACGTGACCCAAAACAGAACGAAGATTTCTGTCACCTGGCTCCCCGCTTCCTTCCTTCCAAAAGGTAACACCCTTGAGACTGTGGCTATCCAAATATCTAGATTCATTATAGCCAGGAACCATGGGATCATCTTTTCCTATCAGTTATTCTAAAATTATTGGATTTGAGTATCATTCCTTCACTGATTTTCCCCTCCTCTCCAGGAACACTCAGTCCTGTCTGCCTTGAATACAGCCATATTACAACATACAACATCCTTTTCTCACAATGAATCCAAAAAAGGGTGGACTCACCTGAAGATCTTGGAAATCCCATCCACACTCTTGACTTCCCCATCTCGGTTAAGGAAGCTATCCAGGCCCTTGAGCAGCTCTTTGGGGTCTATGGGACCTGAGCCCATGATTGAGGTTTCTGAGAGGACAAAACAAACCCACAGAATAAATGGGTGGCAAGGACAGTCCCAGTATGCCCTCTAATAAATTTCACTTCTACATTTGACAAAATAGTGACTAATTATTCAATCTATATTCAACTACACTCACCATTTTTTTAAAAACCAACACAGAACACTGTCACCACTGAGAAAATAGCCTTGGCAAGTTAAGCATGGTGTTACTCATGACTGAATGGAAAGACAATTCAGTTGGAGGACTGCAGCAGCACCTCTCTCTCCTGCTCCCAATTCCATCCTTCTTAGGACAGCTGAACTTCCTTAGATTGTATTACAATAGAATTAAGATTCACATTCCTGTAAGAAAACGATCAACTCTCCAAGGCATTTTTGCTTATTGTTAAGTCCTGTCTCTTCCTTGCTGGTAAATACTGTTTGGAAAAAAAACAAAAAACAAAACACTGTCACTTGTAAGACCTGGGCCAATCTTGGGTGCTTGGGCTAAATGTCTTCTATTAGTCATTCCTTTTTATATTAGCCCATTAAGAGTCAAAATCACAAGTGGCAGGATATGTTCTGCCTACACCAGTACACAATCAACTAAAGTGATGACAGGTGACAGAGAAAAAACAAAACTTGAAAAAAAGAATCTCTCCCCAGGGAAGGTGTGCATAGCTCCCAGAAATGGAGATAAACGGACTGCAAAGGAAGTGAAACAGGTTCTTCTGCACCTTGAATAGAAAGCCACTCACTAACCAAACACTGCATAAATTGTTACTGTTTCAAAGTTAAGGGCAAGATTGGTTTGTGGCTTCAAAAGCAAGGATGCAAATCTGGCCCCCTATATCCTCCTCCCCCCCAAAATCACACCACCATCCAAGATCCCCAAAGAAAGGCCTGAAATTAGAAACCACCACGCCAAAAAGAATAAAGCTAGAAGCTGGAAAAATGCCATTAAATTTTAAGTAGCTACTTTAGACAAAGTTAGAAAAGGGGTTAATTAAAAGTTAAATTGCTGTTATGGGACAGTGTGAAGAAATTTCTAGGCCAGAACCCAAGTTCCAGAAATGTAATTAAGAATCAATATAGTTCTGATTGGTATTTTTATCCACCATGCCTCTAAACACCGGCTTCTGAGAACCAAAAGAGTTCCACCTCAGTAAAATCTGCATTTAGGAAATAAGGTTAACACTGGGTAGGAAGGGGGCAAGGCGAAAACCTCTTGCATCCTGCTTCTAGTAGTTAACAGACATGATACCAGCAGAAGGGAAAATCAGCGTTTTATAATAAAGGTGACTATATTTTGTGCAGAAGAGACAATAGGTTTCTATTTGTTCTCAAACCAAGAAAGAAATAACCATAACATCTCTACCTTTTAGTCCTCCCAACAAAAAGGTGAGTAAATTTCTAAATGTATAGGTCCTAACAACTTAGGCAAGAAAAGGCAGCAGCAGGAAGGAGGCTGGTTCTTGAGATCATAAACTGTGGGCTGAATAAAGGGAGATGAGGTAAGAAATGCTGAGAGGTGCGCAAATCTGGCTTAACTATGCTGTGACCGCTGCCCTGGAACCTCAAGGGCAGGTAGAACCTTAAGTCAGAGGGAAAAACGCTGTAGATAGAATCCCAGGCAAGATTAGAAGCCCCCAGGGCCAAATCCACTGAACTGTGGTGATTCTTATATAGAAATAGACACGGGGATAAAGGAATTTTTCCCATGTTGTAAGACACTATAACGTATAGGAACTATAGAGACAATTAAGATATATAAAACAGATTTCCCATCTGTTGGAGACTGGAAAATGAATCCAAATACATATCAGCAACCAAGAGATACACAATTTGACAAAAAGCCTTCAATTAAACTAATATCACTTCAAACCGGCCCCCCTAAATAGAGCTGACCCCACTGGTTGAAACCCAGAGTTGAATATACATCACCTTGAAGAACTCCCATTTACATATCCAACTATCTGTTAAGCCAACAGGCCTGCCACCTATTTCCTTCAGAAACGCAAAAAATTATCACCTGAGCTCAAATGTTCCTTCATTTAAGAGGGTGGAAGATAGAGGCCAATTAGTATAAAGCTAGATTCTGTTTAGTGCCTTCTGCTGGGACTGGGACCCAGGGACTTTTTCATTCCCATTCATAAAAAGCCAGAAGTCAAAAGAAGCTATGAGACAAAGCAGAAGAAATGTTAAATATTCATTTTCCACTATTTTTTCCCTATTATTTATATTTTGGAAATAAAACTAAATTTTGTCTCACAAGCACCAGTCATGAGATTAAAATATAAGTGGGTTTTCTCATGATGGCTTTCCTACAAGCAGATTAGCTTTGGCTCATTTAAAATTAAGGACCCAAGTGTCTGACAACCTAATTTCCTTCAAGTCAGTGCATTTTGAAAGAAGTTCCAAGGCACTCAAATGGAATGTAACAAGAGCCTAAATTCCTGACACAGGTCTCCAGGAGAAAAGGCAAGTGAGTTAACAAGGGAAGGAGAACCAGTGACCAAGTGTCAGAACATTACCTAGTCACAAATGGAGCCTGGAATGGAAGCATGACGAAGCTTTCTGGAACCAAAAACAATCCAGGACATGACATATTTTAATTTCCTTGAAGGGGAGACAGGAGCAACCCCTAGCCTAACTCCACCTTGTCCAGTGCTGGGCTTTCCTCACAGGGGATGCTGCAGGCAGAGGCTCGCCCTAGTGGCCGACACAGGCACTGGTAAGTTTTCTGTTCTTACCAGAGATCAAATTTAAAAGTCTACAAGCAACACTGACCCCTGCCACCAAAATGAATTTTACTTGAGAGTTGCTCAATTAAATAGGGTGAAAAATATTTAGCTTGGCTACTTATTCCATATCCATCACCAATGAAACAGAACTGGATTGGTTCAGGACAAAAATTATATGCCAAGTCAGAGCCCTCTTTAAAATAATCACAATACTCCTCTAATAAAGGAGGGAGTCCGAGTTTCCCTTTAACTTGGAGACCTCAGCACTTCTAGAAATGAAAATGCTTTGTACCTAACTACTTAATTTCCCTTCCTTTCCTGTGTTTGAGGCATTTCCTCATGACTCAGTAGCGGACTGAATTATGTCTCTCAGGTGATTCACAAGGTTGTACCTCTCTTCTAAGTAATAAGCCCCTATCACTCAGTCATTTTTAAAACCTGGTACATGATCTCCCCAAAAGCTTATCTGTAAAATTACCCACCTACCCCCAATCCCATCCCAATACAAAGGATCCCAGAATAGAACTCTGGCCGAAAACTACAAGGATCAGGTTCTCTGAGGTTCTCTGGATGAATGTGGTTTCCCTACAAGACTGTTTCCCATCTCCCATGTATGGAAGATCTTCTTTATTAATCCCCTGCTCACTAGAGATCAGGAACCCCAGTGGACAGAATGTTCAGCTCCCAAGGAAGGTATGCTGCAGAGGCGCATGGCAAACTGCTTAAAAGATAAAAAAACTTGTCGTCAGTAGACATGTGGAAGTGTCCCTCCCATCCAATCCAGGTTAATTTGAGAATCCATACCCAGGAGAAAATTAGTCCTGAAGTCTCACCCAAGTCACCACAGGGCAGTTGTACAAAAAGGCTCCCCAATTCTAAAACCTCCACGCTTCAAAGCAGGACTTTAAAAAAAATTAAAAGTATATGGAGAGTATGACAAATTTGACTTTGGAAAAATTGGAGGAGGAAAGAAAGGGATAGAACACGCAATTCCACCCTCAGGTAGGGCATGGTTTTCAAACATGCACCAATTGCCATAGCACTGCATGAATTGAAAAATGAAGATATTATTCTCCCATTAATGTTTTCAAGGAATTTCTTTTGGAAGGTAAGAAAAAAGAAATTTAAAAAAAAGGTGGTTCTTGGGGAAAAAAGAAATGAAGGTTGTGAAATGTAATACCAGAAAGGTTTTGCTTACCAGAAACCGTAGCTTGATTCCCCCTGCATTGAGTTTACAACTGCAGCCTCCTTTCCTAAAGATTCACTTCTCATCCTAGCACCAATGTACAGGAGCTAAGCAACTGGAGAACGTGATACAGCACTGAACACAAAGAGTTTACCCCCAAACCCAGAGGCGGGAATAAGGGTGACTTAGAAGAAATTCCTCAAGTACCAAACTTCCCCCACTACCATTCTCATTATACAAGGTGACCCAAGGACTGGTTCCTGAGCAGAAATGGCACATTTTAGTGTCATTAGGCCCCATCTGTCTCTAGTTACTTTCACAAGCTGTTGTCTTTCCCCAGTATCCCCCAACACTCAAATATACACACAAGCTCACACACACTCCCCCCAAAAGCTCCCAGTCTTAAAAGTAGTTTGTCTAACTGGTTTTCAATCCTTAGCAACTGAAGCAGGGAAAACTTCCAAGCAAGCTGTTGTGATGAGTGAAAAGGGAAAATAAAATCAATAGGCTCTGATTGTTAAATATAAACACTAGGGCTGCCCAAGTAGATGTACAGCTTGAAGACCTAATTCCTGTAAACTTCTTTCAAGATAAAGACTATAAAAGATAAAATTCTAAAGAAAATAAGGAAAATGTCTTTTCCTGGCTGCGAGCACAGGAGTCCAGGACTCATCTGCTCAGGGGTGGAGTTTCGAAGAGGGTGGAGAGGAAGAAAGCTGATTACATCACCTTTCAGTGCTGCTCCTCCCCCTTGACCAAGTTTCTAGGGCCGCCCTAAGCTCTGGACGGCAAAAGAAAAACAAAGAAGCAGGGACGCCATTTTGTAATGGAGAAGAAAACTTTAAGCTTTTCCAGCTCTGCCGGTAGCTAATTACATGAAAAAACACCTTTTAGTAAAAAAAAAAACACCAAAAAAACCCCCAGAAAAGCCAGTCCCCCCATCAACTCTGACCTATTTTAAGAGCGTTGTGAAAATAAAAGCAATTAAAATATTAAAAATAACAATTTTCTGGGGGAAGAGTTGAATTTGCAGTTACGGTTCAACCCATCGACCACCCCCATCCTCCCTATAAAGGGAAAGGGGGGAGGACTTGGACCCCTCTCAACAAATAGAGTTGAGATAGGACAAGAGAAAAATGGGAGACACAACCTGCAAAACCGCTTGGAAGACAAAAGGACAAGGAAAGGCGCCATATTGAAGCAGGGAAGATAAAAATTCCTTTTAACGACACAATCTTTTAGAAAGCTAGCATTCAATTGCACTAAATGGCTTTTAAATTATATTCCTGAATTTCACATTTCCCAACCTTTCCACCCTCTATTTAACTGAATCCCCCCCCACCCCCGTCAAAAAGTATCGTTAAAATGTTAATCTTTTGCTTTAAAATAACCTATGCAATCTGCAACAATTACAAAACATTTACTTCCCCAACTATTATCTTGTATGTACTGGCACTAAGATTATATTTTGCCCTGAATTAAGTGTCTTGCAATCTTTATTCCTAGATTGCCACCTATTTTAACCACACAAATATACCCCAAGCATATTACATAAAAATTGAGAGGATTTAACAATCATCTTAAAAGTCATAGCCAGCTATTTCTTTCTGCCCATCTCCTTACCCTGCAATCTTTATGTACAGATTGCTCATTAATCTGGCAAATTGAAAGGCGCCCTGCTTGTCTCACACACAAAGAAGTGGGACTTCTGGGCCATGAGATCCACCGTCTTTTGTATGTGAGCTCATTAACCCTTTTGAAGACTGCTAATGGGAGGAAGGTAACCATTCCTCCTTATAAAAAGCAAACACTATGGCTTTGGCAGTCTGGAAATTGGCTGGATTACGAAGGGTTAACCATCAAAATCCTCACTTGCTGGCCCTCCCACCACCCTCTGCCTTCAGTAGGCAAGGAAGAGGTAGGTGGTAGGAGAGAACAAGACTGTTTAGACCGAAAGGCCCTTTTTAATGGAGAGTTAAGTGACCGGCTCGGTCCTTTCTCCAGTTCTCTCTTTTGTTCTATGGTCTCATTTCTTCCTCTCATTATTTTTGGTTTCACAAAGGGAAACGTTGATTTCTTGTTGCAAGGCTCGTTTTTGAAAATTCGACACTTACTATCCAATTTTTTTGCGACGTCAGCACCTCAGGCTCAGGGGGGAGGGGGTTAAAATTTGAAAAAAAAATAAACCAACCAACCAGGACCCAAAACTCTATTTGGGGGGCCTCATTGGATCAAAAAGTCTCTCAAAAAAATAAAGGCCAATTCAGTATTCATTTCCCCCCCACCCAACTCCATTTAGAGAGGGGGGCCGCAGAAAAAAAGTTCTGAGTGGATTAAAAAAAGTAAACGCTGGATAAGTGAGTTTGGGTGGGTTTGGGAAGGGAGGGTGGTTGATTATTTTTGAAGTTATGTGGTGACGGTCCTTCGGCCACAGATTTCAAGTCCCAAGCAGCGTGGCCTGGTGGGGTGGGCAAGATAGGTGGGAAGGGGCAGAAGACACAAGTGGTTGGGCTGGTGGCTGCTGTTTTCCCTTTCCCCCCTCTCAGGATCCTTTCAAGGGCTTAGATGTTGCTGCGGCTTGTTTCTTTTTTCCTCGTGGCCAGCCTGTCCTTCTCCGAGGAAATTCAAACCTGGGATAAAAGGAACACAAGGGAGAAAGATGTAATCAGTACGGGTTGCTTTTAAACACCCCAAAATTACCATCTTTGTTGTCCCAAACAACTCGAAGTCCAATGCCGAATACAGCCGCTTTATATAAGTCATGGCTCCCAAATAAACCCACGCTTAACCCGTTTCCCAGTCCGCAGATCTAAATAAAATTTTACCCTCTAACCAACAAATAACCGAAACTTACCTCTAAACGAACCCCAGAATGGCGGCTGCCCGCTCGGGTGGAGCATTTTATACTCAGACGCCGCCCAACGCGCCCAAACGTGCTAGTGAGATTCCCTTGTCGCGAGACATTGTGCGCGAGGCGTGAATTTATTGGTCAACCCGAAAGACAACTCGCTAGCTGATTGGCTATCCTTCCTTCGCCTTCGCTCAGCCCACCCTTCCCTCCTCGCCACGCTAGGGACCTTTTTCCGCCTCCTTCCTGGGGGAAGGTGTGGGGGCCGCGTGCGCGTGACCTGACAGCCTAGCACCGCCTTTTCTCCTGTTTCCGCCACTTCCGCCCTCAAGAACATTTCTCAGCCTGGGTTGGTAGAACTGGGTGTGCGCAGGCGCAGTGGTAGGATCTCGGTCAAAATCGCCTTCAAAATTGATTAAAAGGCAAACTCTAAGTATGAGTTCTAAAGATCGTAGTGACTGATTCAGCAAAAATTCAATTTTGAGGCCGAATTTTATTGTGACGCAGTTGAAATTGGCTTCTCCCCATGGTCCCCCTTTCTCGCTTCCGTCCTGACGCAAGTGCGTGGCTGCCTTCCGCATTGTAGGCTCGTCCTTGGTCCTACCCTAGTCAGTTTCCTGGAGCATGCGCAGTCGCCTTCCAGTAACGTCCTGCTTCGGTCGTACGTCAAGATGGCGGCCTCCGTATTGAATACGCTGCTGAGGCGCCTTCCTAGCTTTTGGTCTTTCAGAGATGCTTACAGAGTTCAGGTAACTCCTTGGAGCACATTTTGTACAACTCTACCTTAGTTATATATTTTCTAGGTTGTCGCTCCAGTCTTAGAATCCAGGAGCGGAGCCTTTCTTAAGTATTTATACCTCGGCTGTCTAGGCAACACTTTTGTTGCCACCAGTCACCCTTTCCCCTCACCCTCCTCAAATCTCCGTGCGTTTTTAAAATCCCGAGCCGAGGGCAAAGAGACAGGGTTACATTCATCCTCTTCTCAATTTAACATCTCGGCTAAATAAGTGAAGGAATGGACCCCCTCCCCCTCGGTCATGCACAGCCAACTCTTTTAAACTATGCGGATGCCCTGCAGTGTCCTTAGGTTCAGGGACACTATTTTCTACCAGCCTTGCGATCTCCCAGTAAAGCCAGGATACATTCTTTCGACCTGATAACAGGTTTCTCAGTAGTCTATGTCACTAAATCAGTTTATTATCAGAGCATACATGAGAGTTTAACTCAGCCTTTTGGATTGAGGTTTCTCTTCAGCCTTATGTACTCACCACCCCTGGAGGTTCTTGGTAGGGCAGGGCAGGTTTGTGGTGGGGCAGGGTGAGATAGGAAGGATTGCCCAGCTGCCACTCCTTAAAGTAGGACTGAAGAGTGGTGATGGGTCACCATGGCTTTAATAACAGCCCTGGTAGCTTTAAAGCTAGCGTTAGGACTCAAGTTTGTTCTTCCCTATGGAATGTTGACCTTCAATTTTATATAAAACTGGGCAGCTCTGATTCTGGATTGGATTGAGTTGGAGACTCACCTGTCCTATGTATCCTCTCCCTGCCACACATTTCTAAGAAGCTCTTGGACATCCTCCCTTTTTCTTAGTTCACCCTTTTCCGTCCACTGGACTCAATTGGTCTCAAAAAGCATGAATATCTTTTTTTTTTTTAAGATTTTATTGGAAAATTGGGGAAGGGGAACAGCGTTGGGGAATCGGGTAAGGGGAACAGACAAGTTGCTGTCCTTTTGTTCTTCAGTCTAGTTGTGGAGGATGCCGCTTCAGTGGCCCATGTTGGTATTATCATTGCACTCTTCCCAGGTGAGGCAGATCGGTCGCCAGGCCCTGAACGGCCGCTCATGGTGGCTCTTGGCAGGTCACGCCGGCTGCCGGCCACTCACGGCAGCTTCACTGCAGCCTACGCCATCGCTGGTGACTCACAGCAGCCCAACTCCAGGTCAAGCTACTTCTTGTTCACCATCTTAGCTGTAGAGGGTGCAGTGTCACTGGCCCTCATGTGGAATCCAAATGGGGCCCTGCTGGTCAGAGCTGGCATCCCAAGCCAACTCTTAACCAACGTGCCACTCGGTCAGCCCAAGTATGAATACCTTATATGTGCCATGTTTTTAAGTTGTCCTCTCAAATAAGATTGTATCTCGGTCACTTATTCTAGTTATCTTCTAACGTTGACTTCTCTTTCAGGATCCAGTTGTTGATGTCAAAAATGGCCCAACAAAAATGCTACCTTCCATATGTATTCCTGCTATATTCCATTAACCCCATGGGTGTGAATGCGCCTTCTCCCTGAAGTATCAGCAGCAAAATAATCAGGTCCCTTCCTTGAATTCATTTTTTTTATTTTTGCCCTCCTTTTATAGGTTCCCCTCCAGACTCTTTGCACTGAAGCTTCCCCTGAGGAAAATTCTTTACCCCCGGTTCCCATTTCCCCTTATAAAAATGAACCCTGGAAATATCTGGACTCGGAAGGTACCTCTATGTGGTGAAGTAGAGGGTTATGTGGGGTCTGAAATAAATGGGCAGAGATACCTGCTGTATTCTTAGTTGTACGGTCTTTCATTTCAGAATACCAGACCCGTTACGGTTCTCGCCCCATCTGGGCTGACTACCGTCGGAACCACAAAGGTGGAGTACCCCCACAGCGGACTCGAAAGACATGTATTGTGAGTTTCTAAGGGTGGTACATGGATGGGATATAAAGTGGGGGTGGAGACCATAGTGACAGTGGCAGCAGCACTTTTTCTGACAAGGCTTAGAACATCTTTACCTGCCAGTTTCTTCTCTCTACAGCGTAAAAATAAAGTTGCTGGGAATCCCTGCCCTATCTGCCGGGATCACAAGCTGCATGTCGACTTTAGGGTAAGGAGAACCTTTTTTCCAGAATAAGAATTTGAAGCCTCTTTGTAATGTTAAAGAAATTTCCGCAGGTGCTCCACTGTTCATATCCCGGCACCTGATAGTCCATTTTGCACTGGCTTTTTGGCACTATAAAAACATCCCTCCTTCTAGCTTTTTGCCTTCTGCTGTGGATTATAGTGAAAAACTTCATCCCATACCTGTGAAATTTATAGCCTGAATTGGCAGGAAGAAGAAAAAAAATCCCATTTCTGATGAGAGAGCAACGCCCAAAGGTTTATTTATATCCATCACAATTATTAGCAAGTAGGTTGGGCTAGTTTTTTATGAGGTTTTCTTTATTTCCTTGTCATGTTGCTGTTTGGTGGCATTCTGAGACTTGCAGCTGGAGGGCAGATACATGAAGCACAATATAGAGACTAATTTTTTTTTTTAAAGCCTTCATTGTGAGGAGAACAGGACTTGCCCCTTAAAAAATTCAAAAACCTTATAAAACTGAGCTTGCAGTGAAGGCGTTAGATCAGAAGCTGAATGGCTGGTCATCAGGGATGCTGGAGGGCATTCATGTATCAGTCAGCGGAGGAGGGTGTCTGTTCTCAGGTCCCTTCTGACACAAGTTGTGGAGGAGCCCAGTGGGTGACTTCTCAATTTCAGCTGTGTACGATTGGTTAATAAAAAGGGACTGTAACCAATTTTATACAGTTTATAATCACATAACAAGAGAGAGAAAGATTACAAATTTCATAGTACAAATGATTCTGCCTGCCATTCCACTCCACAAGTATACCTGCTTTTTCCTTGGGTCTCACTTCCTGTGGTTAATTTGCAGCAGAGAGTCAGTGTATATAATTAACACTGAATTTGATCTGAGTAAATAAATACGTTATACACAGCATGCTGTTATATACCTTAATCATTCATACACGCACGTTATAACATATACTACATTTTCTGGGTGATTTCAGGGATTGCCACGTAACTGTCCCCAATTTTTTTGCATGAGGGCTGATTTTAGAGCCTAACCCTTGTGGAAGAGAATTCTGAATGAGTCTCAGCGACAGAATGTAAGATGCACATGTGAAATGGTTGAAGGACCAGGAAACGGGAAACACTTGCTGGGGTTTTCAACAATGTGTTCAATAAAGTGATGGGGCCAAAACTGGGACATGAAGGAGGGTAACATCTGGAGAGACAGAGGGGTTAAGGTCGTCTGTGGGGTGTGTAGGGATTGTGCATTTTCAGTCTCTAAAGGTCTTGGTGCTCTCCCCTCCCTCCCTCATTTCTCCACCACTTTCCCCCACAGAATGTGAAGCTCTTGGAACAGTTTGTCTGCGCCCACACGGGTATCATCTTCCATGCGCCATACACAGGTTAGCCTAAACTCCTGTCACAAGCAGAATAGTTTTTCTTGGGAGCACTTCTCGTTTATTCAGTCAGATAACAGGTATTTGTTTGGTGGTTCCTACTAAAGCATAAAAAGTGTGATTGAACCTTTTGGAAATCTTGGCTTAATGGGTATACTGACGTGCTAAAACAGTTACATGTAAACAGAATTTACAGGCCAGTGTCATTGTAAGCAAACTATCTAAATGTAGCTCTTAAAAATAAATAGTGATGCTTATTTCTTTAGGGTCTCTCCGCTTTCACAAAAGGCTTTCTCAGAAATTGACTATCCCATAAGTTCTTTTATACCATTGACAATTCGGTTAGATTTCCCAAATTTGGAATTGAAAGCTTAACAGTTCACGATTAATCTATCCCTAATCATGGCCACAGGTCAAATCTGGCTCACCGCTGTGTCCATTTGTTTTCATATTGTCTACAACTGCTTTCAGGCTACAAATGGCAGAATTGAGTAACTGAGACAGAGACTATGGGACCCACCTAGCCCTATACCAAAAATTTTGCCAACCCCTGCTCTAAAGCAAGATAAATTTGCAAAGAATAACCTGGACTTACGGTTTTGGAGATGGCAGCATGATTAGTGGAGTTCGGTTTGTCAGGAAGTTTTAAATAGGAGTTTTGAATTCCTGTCAAGCTGTAAAAATCTGAAGAAACTAATTTGCTACTCTCTGAGGCTGGCTTCCCCAGACCTGCAGTACTTTCTTTATTGAATGTTTCTCTGTGAATTGCCCTACCCAACACTTTAATTAAGCATACTTGCCCTTTGAATTGTGTTCTGCTCCCTGCCTTGGAGCCTTTACCATTAAATGGTTTTTCTGCAGTGGCTAGACTCCCCTAAGTTTTCATCCCATCTCAGAGAGAGAGAAAGAGAGGATTCTTCTCGTTGGGCAGATGGAGGAACAGGCCCATGGAGGAGTCAGGAGAATAGGGTCACAAGATAGATAGAACCAGGTCTTCCAAATTCAGCCCCCTATCACTATGTAGAAGAGGTTTTATTCTTTATTTACTGTCCCTTATATAATGAGCACTGAGTTACCTTTTTCTTCCCACAGGAGTCTGTATGAAGCAGCACAAGAAGTTGACCCAGGCTATCCAGAAAGCCAGGGATCATGGTGAGTGTGAGAAGGGGCACCAAGCAGTTTTGTTAGGCTTCAGGAAGGGACTGGGGGCTGGATAGGTATAAATGTTCCCACCTGTCCGAGAAACTAGCACCCAACATCCCCTTCCCAAGAATCTCATCACTCCACTGTCCCTTGTTCCCTCCCCCGAGTCTCTTACCTTATCATTGTCCTGTTCCCTTGTTCCCCCTCTTTCCTGTTTTGCCCCCTTTTATTTTATAACTATTGGTCTCAATGCTGTAGCTAGATCATAGAGGATCTTTGTATAAATTTCTGGCCCTGGGCTCCATGATACCTTTGCACAAATTAGGAAAAGGTACCCTTCCATTAGGGCAGATGCTGCTGCATAGCCCTGGTGCAGGGATGCACAGCTTGGAAGTGCAGGCAGTGTGTCAGTCCACACTTGGCCAGTTGGCCTTTGTGCAGTGTACAACGTGCATAAATGTACCCAGTGGCTCTGACTGGACCCTTCCTCCCTTTGTGGCATATTTTCATTACTGTCTCTCTTAATCTGAACTACCCTACCTTGCTCCCATCCCTCACTTTCTCTCTTTTTAATCCCGTAGGTCTCCTCAGTTACCACATTCCCCAGGTTGAACCTCGGGATCTTGACTTCAGTAACTCTCATGGAGCTGTGAGTGTTACTCCGCCAGCCCCCACTCTGGTTTCAGGGGACCCCTGGTACCCGTGGTACAGATGGAAGCAGCCGCCAGAGAGAGAGCTGTTTCGCCTTCGCCGGCTCTATCAAGGCCATCTCGGAGAAGAGAGTGGCCCCCCACCTGAGTCAATGCCCGAGGTGCCACTCACAAGCCGAGCTGAAGCCTCCACTGAGCAGGCGGACCCCCAGAGTGCTCTGTAGGAGCTGTAGACTGGGAAGGGCTCCTGAGGGATTAGGAGCTAACACCTAGGAATTACATGATGGGATTTCCCCTTCAGAATTGTGTTTATTTTGTGGCCAATGGCAGGTCCAAGGCCAGAGAAAGGAAATAACTGTTGTTGAAGGGGATAAATACATCTGAGGCTGAGGGAGGGCACTACAGATGTATGGGAAACCCTAACCCCAATAGTGTAAAAAGATGGACTCAACATTCTGTCAACTTGGCCTTTCCACAATAAAGCTGTATCTCCTGTCTCTGGGCTGAGTTTCAGATGAATGCCATTCCTGTGGGGGAAATGGGTGCTGTTATGGGGAGAGGAGTGGTTAGGCTTGAGCCAGCCCAACCAGTCACTTATGGGACCAGAAGCCACCTGGAATGGGCAGTTGTGGTATTCTGTCATGATCACCTGCGTGGGACCCCTGTGCTTGAGGCAATGTTCCCACCATACCCACCTATTCACTAGGGTCTAAAGGGTTGAAGAATAAGACAGTCTGCCGGAGAAAAATGCATTGCTAGGGCCCCGCCTGCCTTGGGAGTGGTGGGGAGAGTAGCATTGCTAAGGTACAACTGGTCTGGCAGAACAGCAGCAACATCTCCACAAAGGCCGCTACCATGGGGAAGGAGAAGCCGGCCCCTCCTAGCTCAACCAGGAAATAGAGACTCCAAAGGGCGGGGCGACGAGGGAGGAATGGAAGTGACGTTGCGTGGGGTGGGGTGCCCATGCACAATGGGCCATGGAGTTCCCGTTCGACGTGGATGCGCTGCTCCCGGAGCGGATCACGGTGCTGGACCAGCACCTGCGGCCCCCGGCCCGCCGACCCGGAACCACAACGCCAGCCCGGTGACATCTTAAACCCACCCCAAGGCCATTCTCCCCGGGTTCCTCTAGAAACCTGATCCAGGCACCACGCCCCCTTTTCACTGAGGACTGACCGCTCCTTTTGATGTCCTGGTTCGCCCAGTTGGTGACCTTTGATCTTAGACTTAGTGGGATTGATCCGCTTGGATCTATGACTTTTCACCCCTTGGTCAAATATGTGATCCCAACCAAAGGATGCGGTTGACCCGTCCTTCCTGCTTCCCCACAGTAACCTCAGGGGAGGAGGGAGTGGGCCACTTTGAAAGGAGATGGGGCACAAGTTTGGGTTCCAGAGGGATGGGGTGGAAAAGTCAGATTGGAAGACTCCAAGGTAAAGTCAGAGTCTTAAGTGCTGAACTTGGGTTGGGGTTGGGGTCCAGTTTCCCTGGTAGTGATTGTTTAGAGCCCTCTCATTCAGTGATTTTCTGACTCTTATCTCCTTTCTCTCTCTAGTGTTGATTTGCAGCAGCAAATTATGACCATTGTAGATGAACTGGGCAAGGCTTCTGCCAAGGTATTGGGTAGTCTTTAGAGGCCTCTCTGGGGACAGTAGATAAGGGAGGCCTGGATTCTTTGGAAAGAACTTGCTGAAAGTCTGTCTTCATCTCCCTGGCAGGCCCAGCATCTTCCTGCCCCCATCACCAGTGCGTCCAGGATGCAGAGTAACCGTCATGTCATGTATGTGCTCAAAGACACTTCAGCTCGACCGTGAGTACCAGATGCTCTTCCATCCTGTGCTTAATCCCTTCCTCCCCCAGCCCTTCTCACTTTTTTGACTCTGTTTCTTTCAGATAGCTGCTACTAGCTTGTTCATTATTTCTCCCATCCTATAGGGCTGGAAAAGGAGCCATTATTGGCTTCCTCAAAGTTGGATACAAGAAACTTTTTGTACTGGTGAGTGTCATTGGAAGTCAGTGTTCATATGCTTTGATCCCCGAAGTCAGAAATGCTGGAGTTTGGGAGGTGGCAACACTGTCTTGGTTCTAAAAGATATTTATTGTTCTTTTCCTCTTAGGATGATCGCGAGGCTCACAATGAGGTGGAACCACTTTGCATCCTGGACTTTTACATCCATGAGTCACTTCAACGCCATGGTCATGGGCGTGAACTCTTCCAGTATATGTTGCAGGTATCACTTATCTCTTCACCAGTCTGTCCAAAATGGAGCTCGAAGGCCCCTTTGCTCTGAGCCCTGCCAGAGCCCCTGCCTCCCACCCTCCCACCCCCCATGTCCCCATTATCCTCCTGATCCCTTCCCAGGCTCCTGAGTTCTGTCAGCATGTTCTCCCCACACCTTCTACCCTGAGTCTCCTGTTCCCTGCAGAAGGAGCGAGTTGAACCACACCAACTGGCCATTGACCGACCCTCACAGAAGCTGCTGAAGTTCCTAAATAAACACTACAACCTGGAGACCACAGTCCCACAGGTTAGAGGTTTCAGAGGCTAAATCTCCACTGAGCATTCACATTGAATTTATTTATTATTTGGGGACAAAGAAGTGGCACCTTCCAAGCACTCCTTATACCTTATTATATAAGATTCATTTTATACAGCTAAGCTTTTTTTTTTTTTTTTTTTTATAACCATGTCTCATTCTGCTACTATTTCACTCTCATCTATTTTGATTCTTCATCATGGCTGTTTTGTATGCCTAATAATATGTTTGTGACCTAAACATAGCCAGCTCATTTCTCCTTGTTTTTATACAGCCCATTACTTATTCAGTCAACATTTATTAAGGGCGCAAAATAATACACATTCCCTGTCCTCAGGGAGCTTTGGTCTATAATGGGGAAGGTGATTAGTTTATAAGTAAATGCAATGTAATGTTACTGATGCTATCCATTCATTCAACAAATATTTATTGAGCACCTGGCACTGTTCTGGGCATTAGGAATACTTTACTCAATGAAACAGATAAACGTCTCTGCCCTTGTGGAGCTTATATTCCAGTTGAGGAGACAAACAACATAATAAACAAGTATATACTATGGTTGATTATAAGTGCTCTGGACCAGGGGTCGGCAAACTTTTGAGACGGAAGAGCCGCCAGGGGTCAGCAAAGTGCGGCTCACGAGCCACATGCGGCTCTTTGGATATGTACATGTGGCTTTGCAGTAAAATTGAAAATGAAAATAAAAGTATCATAGTTTTCATTTATAAAGTTTGTAAAAGATATTATTCACATAATGGTGATTATGTAAAAATATATTTATGGCTCTCGAATAATTTTTAAATTGTTGTGAGGGACAGGATTGGCTCTTCCAGGGGTCAGCAAACTTTTGAGACCGACCATACCCAAAGAACCGCATGTGGCTCACAAGCCGCAGTTTGCAGACCCCAGCTCTGGACAAATGAGAGCCAGCAAGAGGGCTTGAGAGTGCCACGAGGGGATGGGAGTGTGTGGGATTGCAAGTTTAAATGGGATAAGCAGGAAAGACACTTGGATAAGCAGGGAAGCCTCACTAAAGAAGTGTCATCTGTGTAATAAGTTAAAGGAGGTGAGAATAAGAGCCAAGAAATGTCTTGAGGGAGAGCATCCCAGGCAGAGCCAATGGCTAGTGCAGAGGCCAGGAAGTAGCCTTATGCCTGGAAGAGTGAATTGGCTGGTATGACTAGAACACCATGAGTGATAGAGGTGTGTGGGTGATGAGATCAGCTGTAACGTGGGAAGAAGGACATTTCGGGCCTTAAAGCCTATTTCAAAGGTTTTGGCTTTTACTCTTAAGTGAAAAAAGGAGAGCCATCATAGGGATTTGAGCAGAGACATGATAGGATCTGACTTGCTTTTAACCAGACTACTTTAAGGGCTGTTAAGAATAAGCAGAAAGGGAGTGAGGGCATAAGAAAGTGGACCATTTAGGAAGCAACCACCCTGATGAAGAATGGTCATGGCTCAGACCAAGATGGTACAGTGAGATGGTAAGGAGTGGTCAAATTTTAAATATTGTGAAATTAAAGGAAATAAGATTTCCTGTTAGCTTCTCTGTGAAGAAAGAAGGAGGGAGTGAAGGATGATTCCCCAAGCTATTGGCCTGAAAAGTTGGAAGGATAGAGTTGCATTAGCTGAGATGGTTGGTAGAGCAGTTTTGGGGGAAGTAGTGGGACTCCATTTTGAATATGTTAATTGCAGATGTCTGTGATAAGTCCAGGTTGAGTGGACAGTTGGGTATTTCCCTAGAGTTCATAGAAGTTTGGGGTGGAAAGTTTTCAGCATACCTAGGGTATTGAAAGCAATGAGACAGGATAAGATCACCAAGGAGTAATAGAGAAATAGTCCCAAGACTTGAGCTTTTGGCACTCATTAAAGAAACCAGGGAGAAGAGGACAAACTGGCAAGTGTGACCAAGGAGTAATAGTGAAGTAGATGAAAACTTAAAAGTAGGGAGACCTGGAAGGCCAGTGAGGAAAGTGTTTCCAGGAAAAAGGGATGGCTTACTGAGTCACATGCTGCTGATCAGTGAGATAAGAAGAGGTCTGAGAAGTGACTGATGGATTTAGCTGCTTGAGGCCACTGATGAGCTATTTTGGTGCAGTAGTGGGTGGAAGCTTGGAAGTCAGTTTAGGAGAAGCTAAGAACTGGAGACAATAAGAACAGGCCTCTCTTTTAAATGCTGCTTTAAGGTGAACAGAGAAATAGAGCAATAGCTAGAGAGGAAGCAGATCAAGAGAAGGTTGATTCTTTTCAGTTGGAAGAATTAACAGCCTAAGAATGATTCAGTAGAAAGAAAATTGGATGATGTCAGAGAACATGGGGAGAATTGCCAAAGCAATGTCATTGGGTAGGAAGGGTTGGGGATTGAGCTGACAAGTTCGCCTTGGATAGGAAGGAGCATGGACAGTTAATCCATGGTAACATAATTTAATTGACAGACATGCTTACAGAGAGGGCATAAGGACATGGTGGTGAGTGCTACCTTGGGCTTGAAGTTGGGTAAAGAAAGGCTTGACTTACGTTTAACCTTGAAAGGTGAGTGTTTATCAGAGGGACAGAAGTGGATGGGCTAACTGCTTTTCATGTAGAAGAACCAGCATGAGCAAAGTCAGAGAGGTATTAAACTACCTGTCAGGGCACTGCAAGCAGTTTGGAGTGGCTGGAGTACTGGGCATGTGCTTGCTGGGGAGAGGATGAGGGTGGGCTGGCAAACGTTACAGCAAGGTCAAGGCAGGAGATAGGCAGAGGCTACTTGGAATGTCCTCCCACGTCTGTTTTTCCCTTAAGAGGCAGCAGAGAGCAGTGGAAGGAGCACAGTATTTGGCAGCAAACACATTACCTAGGTAACGTGTAAGACCAGAACAATATCAAGTATAAATAATAATAGCTAATGTTTCATGAGCCCTGTGTGATCTACATGCGTTATCTCAAGTTATCTCAGTTGATCCTTGTACTTCTCTTTGAGGTAGGTGCTATTATCTTGGGTTTATATAGAGTAGCAACTTGACAAAGTTCATACAGCTAATTGGTAGAGCTCAAATTTAAACCCATAGCCCACTCTTATTATTATTTTTTGAAGGTTGTCTTATCTGGCGTTCTTTTTTTTTTTTTTTTAGTTTCAGGTGTACAAAAGAATGCAATAGTTATCCTTTTCACCCCTCACAAAGTGACAACCCCCCTCCCCTCACATAGCCCACTCTTAATGACTACACTGGACTGAAATGCTGCAGCTAGAATCAGGAGTCTGGGGCTTGAGGCCCAGCTCTGCCACTTGTTGCTACTTGGCTTTGGGCAGGCTATGTTCCCAAGCATTTTTTACTCTTCTTTAAAATAGTGACTCCAAAGATTGTTGTGAAGGCGAAACTGAATGTGATAATATAATGAAATCACTCTAAAATGATGAGTTAGTAGTTATCAGAGTGGTGCCCTGTCCTCCAGCATGTCTTCCTGCGACAACCCCACCCATTTGAACCCTACTGAAATCTTAGTTTTTCTCAGTATTTGTATATTCAAACCATTTGGCCTTGCTAATGTGCTTTGTTTTGAAGGTTTTGTTTGGACAGTTTTGGATGCCTTCCCTGACATTTTGTGCACTGTGTCTTCATTAGTCTGGGTCTCGGGAGAAACTGAAAGTAGGGTCTGGGTTTTTTAAGATAATATTCACAATTTTAACTGTTTAAAATTCAGTGGTTTTTAGTATATTCACAATGTTGAGCAATTACCACCATTGTCTAATTCCAGAACATTTCCATCACCCAAAAAGAAACATGGTACTCATTCACCAGTCACACCCCATTCCCCTTCCCCCAGCCCGTTAACCAATAATCTACTCTCTCTGGAATTGCTTATTCTGGACATTTTATATAAATGGAATTATACAACGTGTGGCTTTTGTGTTTGGCTTTCACTTACCATAATGTTTGGGGGGGGGGGGTTCATCCATGTTGTAGCATGTGTCAGTACTTCATTCCTTTTTACGGCTGAATAACATTCCATTGTATGGGTATACCACGTTTTGTTTATCCATTTATCAGCTAATTGATATTTGGTTGTTTCTGCTTTTTGTCCATTATGATTAATACTGCTATGAATATTTGTGTATAAGATTTTTTTTGCACTTGTATTTTCAATTCTCTTGGCTATGTATGTACCTAAGAGTGGAATTGCTGGTGATGTGGTGATTCTGTGTCTGTTTTTCCAATGACAGTAACATTTTACATCTCCACCAGCAACGGTTGAGTGTTTCAATTTCTCAACACCCTCACCAACATTTGTTATTTCCCTTTTTAAAAAACATAATAATCATCCTAGTGGGTATGAAGTGGTATCTCTTCATGGTTTTGATTTGCATCTCCCTAATGACTAATGATATTGAGTACCTTTCAAGTGTTTACTGGCCATTTAAATATCTTCTTTAGAGAAATGTTTATTCAAGTCTTATGCCCATTTTTAAGTTGTGTTCTTTGTTCTTGAGTTATAAGAGTTCTTTTTTGTGTGTGTGTGTCTTTTTTTTTAAAGATTTTTATTGGGGAATTGGGGGATGGGAACAGCACTGGAGAATTGGGGGAAGGGGAACAGACAAGCTGCTGTCCTTTTGTTCTTCAGTCTAGTTGTGGGGGATGTTGCTTCTCTGGCCCAAATTGGCACCATCATTCCGCTCTTCCCGGGCGAGGCAGCTCAGTTGCCGGCTTCTGGACCAGCCGCTCACAGTGGCTGCTGGCTACTCACACTGGCTGCTGGCTACATACGGTAGCCCATGGCAACCCACTGCAGCAGGGGCTGCAGCCTACTCCATCGCTGGGGACTCACAGCAGCCCAGCTCCAGGTTGAGCTGTTGTTCAGCATCTTAGCTGTAGAGGGCAGTGTCACTGGCCCTCATATAAGAGTTCTTTATATATTCTAGATACAACACCCCTACCAGATATATGATTTGCAAATATTTTGTCCTATTTTGTGGGTTGTCTTTTCATTTTCTTAATAGTGTTGTTTGAAGCACAAAAGTTTTTACTTTTGATGAAATCCAATTTATCTGTTTTTTTTCCCTTTTGTTGTTTGTGCTTTTGGTGTCATAGTTAAGAAATCATTGCCTAATCCAGAGTCATAAAGATTTTCCTCAGTGTTTCCTCCTAACAGTTTCATAGTTTTAGCTTTTCCATTTAGGCCTTTGATCCATTTTTAGTTATTTTTTTGTCTGTGGTGTGAGATAGAGGTCCAAATTCATTATCTTGCATGTGGATTTTCAGTTGTCCAAGCACCATTTGTTGAAGAGACTATTCTTTCCCCATTGGTCTTAGCACCCTTGTCGAAAATCAATTGACTGTAGACACATGGGTTTATTTCCATCTTTGATTATTGTGGCTTTGTAATATTGAGATCAGGAAGCGTGAATCTTCCAACTTTGTTCTTCTTTTTCAAGATTGTTTTGGCTATTTGAAATCCTTTGCAATTCCACATCAACTTTGGGTACAGCTTATCAGGGTCTGAATGTGACTGAGTCTGTTAAGGACAGGAAGGCTGGGTTTTCACTGTGGTTGTTCCCGCACGGGGTTCTGTACCCAAGTACGTTCTGAGCTGCTGAATGGACAACTGTATTTGGCTTGTTTTGTCTTATAGGTCAACAACTTTGTGATCTTCGAAGGCTTCTTTGCCCATCAGCATCGTAAGTTTTCTCACCTCGTGTGTGTTGGTCAACTACTTGGGGTGAGGGAAAGGAAAAAGTTGGATTCTTGGTCCCACTGGCCCCGCACTGAGGGGTACCACCACTTCCTTCCTCACAGGGCCCCCCGCTCCCTCTATGAGGGCGACTCGACACTCTCGCGCTGCTGTGCTTGATGCTTCGCCCGCTGGTAAAGCTGCACTGAATGGGTGGGCCCATAGGGCAGTGATGGCTCCTTACCCTGAGACCACAGGGCACCATGTCATCTGTGGGCAGGGTGAAAAAATTCTAAAGCAACCCAGTGTCCAGCAGTCCTTACCCATTTGCCTCTGCTCTCATGGGAGCTCAGTGCATTTGAACTTGTCAAGACTTAACTAAGCAAGTTCATTGGGAGCCTGTTTGACAGTGGCTGTTGGTGGAGTCACTCGCCGCTTCAGGTCCATAAACATAGGCCAGAGTCACATTCCTTTCTAAACCCCTCAAGTCCATCAGTCAGTGAGGGACAGACATATGCAGTCAGCCCTTCCATTTCCATTCACAGTATAGTGATATGAATGGCCAAAGTTTAAATACTAGTTTTAGACTAGAATGCTCAGAATTTATAACATTACTAACCAAATAATGAAATTGATCTGGAGGAACCAGACCTAGGAGGTACTGAAATGCTGCCCAGGTTGCCTAGACCATCCTCACACATGCTCCCTGCCAGTCTGAGCCCCACTCCTGCCTCACTGTCTCCCAAGGTGGAGAAGCACAGCCGTCTGCTGGCTGCGCAGTGCACACTCACACAGAAGCCCCCCCGCCTTGCCCATGGCCAGGAAAGGGGGCAGCCACCACCCCAAAAACAGTCTGGTGCCAATTATTAGCTTCAGCCAGTGTCAAGTGCTGAGGCAATTCACATCCGTGACAGTTGGTGTCCCAGGCTGCCCTGATCTGGCTCCTGCTGATGGAAGGCTGTGAGGGAATGAGAGCCAGTAAGGACGGTGAGGATGCAGGTCCCCAGTAGGGGGACCATGGAAAAAGCTTTCACGGTCTTGCTGAAATGTCTCATTTGCCACCCACAATGGAGAACCTCTTGAGAGGGAAAAGAGGGGAGCAAGTAGAGAAGTGAGGAGATGGGAGACAGAGCTTTGGACAATAAGTTAACCTCTCATTTACTCTGCTTTCTATTTTATTTATTTTCTTACAGTATTTCTTTTGACATTCAATATTTTATATTAATTTCAGGTGTACAGCATAGTAGTTAAACCCTTATATAATTAGGAAGTGATCCCTCTGACTAGACTAATACCCATCTATACCATACATAGTTATTACCATATTATTGACTATATTCCCTATGCTGTACTTTACCCATTTACTCTGGTAACTCCTTTCCAGGTATCTATGTTTTCTCCTCATCCTTTTTCAATCTCTTCCCATCTTTGCACCGGAAGGAGAGGTGCTGCCCACCCCAACCTCTCCTGACCTTTCCACAGAATTCCTGATTAACCAAGGGCTTTGTCCATCTCATCTCGAGGGACCTGGGGTCCTCACTGGCCCAGCTGGGACCATTCCACTGCCCCAGAACCCCAGGGGGGCCTAACAGCACCCGCTGACAGTAAGAGCTCAGCTTCCTTGGCCACCCTTGCTGCACCTCCCAGGCCCCAGAGTACACACCCTGGATTTTCCCCCCTAACTGTGCATTCGGCCTGCTCCTTCTGGCTGTCCTCAGAAGTGCTCCAGCATCACTCCCGACCCCAGTTCCCTCTCAGTGCCACAGAGCTGCTGCTTCTGTGATGGAATTAAGCTCTCCTCCTTCCCCAGGAGGAACTGTGGTGTCAGGGAGCAGAGGTTTGGGGTCGGGGGCTGGAGGGAGGAATGCAGAATGTGTCTCCTAATGCTTACCTTGCCTGTGTCTTCACCACCACCAGCTCCAGCGAGGAAGCTACCACCCAAGAGAGCAGAGGGCGACATTAAGCCATACTCTTCTAGTGACCGAGAATGTAAGACTGCGTGCGGTAGGGTGTCTGGGCTTGGGGGGCCTTAACTCAAGGGAACGATTTGTTTCCCCTAAAGGCTCTGACTTCTTTTTTCTACCCTAATCTTGGCTGTCATGACTCTTTTCCCTCTCCTTTCTTTCTCTGTCTTGCTCTTTATTCTCCCGCTCCCCAGTTCTGAAGGTAGCTATGGAGCCTCCTTGGCCCCTCAACAGGGCCCCTCGCCGAGCTACACCTCCAGTCCACCCACCTCCCCGCTCCAGCAGCCTAGGAAACTCGCCAGAACGGGGTCCCCTCCGCCCCTTTGTGCCAGAGCAGGAGCTGCTGCGTTCCCTGCGCCTCTGCCCCCCACATCCTACTGCCCGCCTCCTGATGGCTACCGACCCTGGGGGCAGCCCAGCCCAGCGTCGCCGCACCAGGTAACAGGAGTTGGAGTCTAGGGAGCCTCAAGAGTGTTAGAAATGGCAAAAGGCCATTTGAATCCGTCAGAGACGTGAAACAATAGGACACGTGGGTTGGAGGGTCCTGGAACCTTTGGAGAATATATTGGAAAATAATTGAGGGAGTGCTCTGGGAATAAATGACAGTGAGGGAGCAGAACAGGACTTTCTATGGGAGTCTAGGGACCCTAGTTTTATAGTGAGAATTGGGAGGAAAGGTAGGAAGAATCCAGATCCATGGGTGGGGGGAACTAAGCCTGGAGGGAAATCATGGTATAATACTTGCTGGGAAAGGGCAGTGTCTCTGACACAGTTTGGGAAGCCACTGATGCCATGTCAGTGCCTTGTGTGGCAGGAGCCCATCAAGCAGGCGGAGTGGGTATCTCTTGTATTTCTCTCCCTAGCTTTCTCTTCACCTCTGACTTCTGTTTTTCTCTTCCCCCCTTTTCCCTCTCCCTGCCTCCTATCCATAACATCCTTCCACAGTTCCCTTCCCCGCTCTGATGACAGTCGATACTGACAGACAGCTAACCCCCTCCCCTCCCTGGGAGACCCTGGGTGGGCAGAGACCCCTCCCCTCGAGAACCCCAGACCCACTCTTCCATTGCATCCCACTGGATCTAGTGGAACCTGACAGAGCACATTGAATTCCCTCTTGCCCTTTTCGGACAACTAGGTTGTCAGGGTCTCAGATGGCCTAATACCCTGTGGCTTTTCATGCCATAGAAAGCATCCCTTCTCTCCTAACTTGGTCTCTGAACACTCCCACAGACAGCCTGAATCGCTGCCAGACCCCATGGTTGGGTAGCTCATACTAAGTATCCAGAGAAGCACACACTGGCTTGCTGTCAGACTCTGGAATACCATGGAAGGTCCAAGGGCCTCCTCTGCCAGGGAAGCCTTTTAAGGAGTCTTGTCCATGGAGTGAATCCCATATTTGCTCTACAGTGTCTACTAGTGGCCCTAATACGGCTTTGTGCTACCTACCACACTTACTTTCAGCCTGCTGACGCCAGCCAATGAGCTCTGCTTCAGAGCAGTCAAGTAGGACAGGGACTTACCAGCTCCTTAAAGGGATCCACTCAACATTGCCAAGCTCTTCATTACATGTTTTGTGTATGTGTGTCAGGGAACCCGAGCTAATGTCTGCTTTGGGGGTCTAAAGACACCACCACTTCCCCCAGACCTAGATTCTGTGAGGGAGTTTTTTTCTTGGCAGTAGATCCCAGCAAGCACCCTGGGATCACTCTTAGCCATGTTTCAGGAGATAAGCCTGAGTCTCAAGGATCTGTTAGCTCCCAGAACTCCCTCGCATCCATCCCTCCCCAGTAGCTAGATGCTGATGTATTCCTGTCTTGTGAGATTGTCTTGAGATGATGGGGAACCCTTCTCTGACCTTCCATTCTTCTTTTCTCCATAGCAAGAACCTTTTTCCCTGCTCCATATCCAGGGTATAAAACATCCTTCCCCCTCCCTACCCTCTGAGAGTATGGTAGATCAGGTACCCCACTGTGTTCCCCCAAATCCTTGGGAGCAGGATCTCCCTTTCTCCAGACTCATTCCCCTTTTCCTTTTCCCTCTCAGTGTTGTCTGAATAAAGTGTGAATTCCTTTGTGTTTTTTAAATGGACATTTTCAATGAAAAAAACAGCCAAAAAAAACGAACTTAAGGTCTCAGCCTTATTTGTGTGTCACCGCTTTTTTCCTGGGATCTAGGGACGTCTGTCCCTCTCATCTTCCTCACTGCTGAGACCTGCAGATGTTCCAGCAAGGAGTCCCAGAGCTCCCCTTGCAGGATCTGGTGTCTGTCTGCCCATCCCCACTTCATTGCTGGATCTTCTGCGGATTCTGTCTCCTCTCATGGCGCTGGTCCTCTGTGTAGGCTTCTGTATCTACTTTCCCATTCCCTCCGGAAACCTCCAGCTCTCCCCAGTGACTTCCACCCTTTACCCCAGGCCAGCCCTTGCTGAGATGTGGAGATTTACCGATATCCCTGCAATCCACTAACTGCATCCTGATAACAATCTCCCAATTGTTCCCTGGATTCCTCTTCCCACTCTGATTTCCTGCCCTTCCCCTCTCCCTCCCCTCCTCTCTCCCCCCCACAACACACACACACTCTCTCTCCCTCTCACCCTCCCCCTCTCCCCTTCTCCCCCTCCCTCCCCTCTCCCTCTCCCTCTCTCCCCTTGGACCTTTCTCAACACAATCCCTTACCGCAATTGAGGGCCCAACACAGTCTGTCACATCTCTTCAAAGGCTTCCTTCCTTTTCCTCCTAAATTCAGCTTTGCTACTCCCTACAATTAAGATGACCATGTTTTCCAAACCAAACATCAGGGCACCTGGTCCAACAAATTTGCTTAGCCTATATGTGAGTCTGTTTTTATGAGATGATTTGCATCACATTTAGCTTTACTTTTAACACATTGCCCCAACTAGAAATAATACAGCAACAAATCAGGATAGCTCCAGAAAATCTTTGGGGGTATAAAATGAACTTCCCTCCCCTTTTCTGGGGCACAGCTTAGATTAAAATTCCATAGAAAGGATAACTACTCTTCTCTGTGTTCCTGTGCTGTCTCCTTTTATCCCTCCTCTGATTCCTCCATACCCACTCATCTTTCATCCTATAGCCTCTTCCCCATCATCTCCCATTTCTTCTACAGGGGGAGTCCCCCAGGGCTGGTAGCCCAAAGCTGCTGCTACAGCCGCCATGGGGGGTTGAATTCCTCATCCCCCAGTGCAGGTAAGTATTCATCCCTCCTTACCCTCAAATCAAGTAGGCCATATTCACTACTCCGGCTTTCCCATGCACATGCCTGGTATTTCCACAGACAAACAAGAATGGAAGCAGGGGGAACAGGAAACAGAGAATAGGTGAGGCCACACTTATCCCCAACCAGCCGCCCACTGCCTCTGTCTGTCTCCTTTCCTAACATCACTCTCAGCTCCTTCCTCTGAAATCTTGTTTTCCAAACTGGACGCCAGCTCCTCCCCCAAATTCTTCTACCTAACATCCTACAAGCCCCTTTCCCGTTGGTTTAATTCTGGTACTTCCCTTCAGCACTGTCTGAGGGGTTTCAAGTTTGGACATAGTGCTTATGGTTCCAGCCTCATACCCTATCATGTATCCTCTGCTATGTAAGAGCCAGATAGACCTGGAAGAGTCTGATTTTAATTGTCACTTCAGTACCTCTATATAACCCACTCTCCATCTACCTCCTACCTACCAGGTCTGCCAGTGAGGAGCAGGTCTTGTCACAGGATGGGTATGGGGAGGAACCCATGCACACAGTTCCTTCACAGGCACAGGCCCCACCAACCCAGTACTGGACAATGGCTGGGGACATGTTCAACGCCAGGTTCATTCGAAACTTGCAGGAACGTCGCAGCACCAGGCCTTGGTGACCGCAACCGCCGTCACACCTTCAAAGTCAGTATTATTTCTCACTGAACAGGAGTAGCCAAAGCCCGCCCTCATAATAGATGTATTCATTCATACATTCATTCATTCCACAGGCTTTCTTATTCAGCGCCAAATCATTTGTATCTTATTTTTAACCAGAGCAATAAAGTATTTATTTTTATCACGAGAGCTACTGAGAAACTTAACTGTTGTTTCAATCTCTCCCCACTCTCCTTGCACCCAGCTCACCCCCATCCTCGCCCAGCTTTTTGCGCAAGCGTCCCCGGTGCGGGTGCAGTGTTCGCGACCGCTAATTTACTGCGCAGGCGCTCTATGGTAGCCTCCGATCTAGGGAGCGCAGGCGCACTTGCTACAGACCGGCGGCTCAGCGCCTCCTTGGAGTCCGCCGCAGTGCGCAAGCGCGCAACATCTCCGTTTCCCTCCTCTCAGTCCCTCACCCGCCCCTCCTTTCCCCTTCAAGAAGCCGGCTCTGGGGCGCGCTCACCCCGTGAGGAGGCCGAAGGCCGCACTCAGGAGGCGCTTTCTCCACTCCCGGAAGATCATGTACCAGCCTAGCAGGGGGGCGGCCCAGCGTCTTGCCCCCTGCCTCCGGGCCTACCAAGCTCACCCCCAGGTGAGAGCAGAGGGGAAGAGGGGGCGGGGAGAGACCCTCCTCGTAGCCGGTGCGTGGGGCGGAGCGTGCGCCCCTTTCCGCGCAGGCGCGGTGACGTCCCACCGCCCCTTCTTACCTGTGCCAGGTGGCGCTCCGAGGGGCTCGGGGTCGCGGCGACCAAGTGGGTGGCCCTGCCAGCCCTGGCGTGCACGGCTGTCCTTTCTCCCGGGTCTAGGGTAGGCAGGCGGGATTGGAGGTCGGGCGATGGGGCGCATCCGCACGTCGCCCGCGACTCCGCGGTTACCTATGCCTGGAGGTGATTTGAAGGGCAGGGGGTGGAGAGGTTCGCAGCCTGGCCGCGGCGCCACCCTGGAGTTCCCCAGCCCCGACCAGACAGACCTGCGGGCGCGCTGTGCAGCCCGCGCACCTTGACCCCGGATAGCGGTCCTGGCAGGAAGGCCGGCCCGGGTGGACCGGGTTCGGGCCCCTGCGCCCTGGCTGGCAAGATGGCCACGCCCCCTGCGGAGTCGGCGCCTCTGGGATACAGTCCAGGACAGAGGTACCCACGCGGCCTGCTCGCCTTCCCGGGAGTAACACCCCCGGGGGTTCCTGGGGAAGCGGAGGGACTCGGGTCAGGCCTGACTGGGTGACCTCCTCCTCGCCGTTTCCACGTCGGTAAACCAGGGAGAGTGAAGTCCAGCCTTTAAGTCTCCTGGGCTTGTGTCGATGGGACCCAAAATGATAATAGCTTCCATTTATTTATATACTACTTTATAGGTCGCGAAGTTTTATTACTTTTATTGTCTTACATAATCCTCATAACTGAATGTGGCTTCGTCATCCTCGTTTATAAGAGGACATTTAATGGAAACTGAGGCATAGGGAATGAGAGTGCCTAAGGATACATGATAGACTCCATACCCAAACAAATGTCTCCTATTCCAGTTGGATGTTTTTTTCTTTGTACAATATCTGCTTCACACACTTGATTGTGGAGTTGTTACCGGCCACACCATTTCATCCACAGTGCAACAAAACTTGTTTTTCATTCATTTGTTCATTCTTCAAACATGTATATGATCCTTGCTATAAGAGAGGTCGAACTGCCCCCAAACAGTGTTGGAGTCTTAAACAAATGTAAAGGTATTTGCTAATGTTTTGGGGAGGTGCTTGTCATAGGAAACTGTTTCCTCCAGGAGATAGAGGTGAATCCATCCCATTTTCCTCTAGTAATTCCATCTTTTCTGTTTGGAGGAGCAGATGGGATTACAAGCGTGTTAAGGGGCACAGTTTGGATGAAGGGGCATTAGGCTGCTAGATTCTTATCTTTTTCCCTTTTGTTCTTCCTCCTTAGGACCAGCTTTCTCCATGGGCCCTGCCATTCCCACCCCTCTGGCCCAACTCCACAACTGCTACTAATTCAACTTCTCTTTTTTGGTCTCCCCGATCCCCACACCCTCCCACCAGGCTGCTTCCCAAAGCTCTCCCACTACCTCTCCCTCAGGTCCTGGCCCTCAGCTCACCATGGGTAGTTCTCCCTCCAGGAAAGGGGGAGGAGGGACCAGGACCTGAGTTGCATAGCGGCTGCCTGGATGGGCTCAGGAGCCTATTTGAGGGACCTCCCTGCCCGTATCCTGGGGCTTTGATACCTTTCCAAGCCCCTGGGACCTCCCGCCCTTCCCCTACCACTCCATCAGGAGATCCAAGTATGGAGGAGCACCTGGCTGTCATGTATGAGAGACTGAGACAAGAGGTAAGTTAGTTTGAAAGTGATCTTCATCCACAATGGAAAGGAATGTAGGTAATACTTGGACGTAGAGGGTTAGTCAACTGGATTCTTTCTTGGAACTACAAGGCAAGCACAGTAATACGTTACAGACATTTCCCAAGGAAAAGATTCTCCTCAGTTTGGGTTAAGGGAAGTTAAACGGCCCGGAGATGACTTTTCACTCAGAGGGGATAAGGAAGCACTGAAAATAGGAAACTGAGATATAGGATCATCTTTTCTTTCCCACTGGGCTGATGCCTTCTTTTTCCACCTAGCTCCCCAATCTCTTCCTTCACTCCCATGACTATACTCTATACTCATCGGATGTGGAATTCATCAATGAGATCCTGAACATACGTACCAAGTGAGAATCCTGGCATGGGTGGGCCATGGGGAGAAAAAGGACCCAGTGTATATACTTGATCCTTTTCTCATCCTAAAGGAGGTCCTAGGCTGCTTATCTACAATTGTTCCCCATTCCTCAGATAATGAGGCCAGTTTGGTTTTCTGATTCTGCCATCGTGAGATTTCTTTCCCATCCCTTCTTCACAGGGGCCGGACATTGTATATTCTGTCACTGACCCTCTGCCGCTTTCTGGCCTGGAACTATTTTGCACAACTTCGGTTGGAGGTTCTACAGCTGACCCGCCACCCTGAGAACTGGACCCTGCAAGCCCGCTGGCGGCTTGTGGGGCTGCCCATCCACATGCTCTTTCTGCGTTTCTACAAGCGTGACAAGGAAGAACTTTACCGGTAAGAAGGACCCACACTACAGTTAGTTTCCTAATCATACAGTTTTAGGATTGACGGTCTAGTCTCCCAGACAGTCCTTCATCTGCCTTACTTGACTGCAGGCTCCTTGTTTTAATATACTTC